CATTTCTCGATATTATGAGCATTTCTGAAATATATATATATAAATAATTATTCTGCTAACATGCTAATTTATTTTTACAATACATAGATTTCTTTGACAATTCGTGGTTTGTGAAGGTTGTATCTACTGAATTTGGGCAAATTGAGTTTATTGATAGTGAATGAAACTAGTCCCACGCGCGCTACTCAACTCTACTTATGAATGACCATCTATATTCGATATTATCGAAATATCGATATTTTCCTCTTCTACTCACTGCTTTTAAAATGAAGCAGGCAGATGAGTATAACTTTTTTTCTAAAAATCAGATTTAGTTCCTAAAGTTTTCCGATAAAGTTTTAATTTTAATTTTCAGTTTAAAATTATCGAAGGGACGATATCGGTAGTATATAATATCAAAGTAAATATTATTGATGATAAAATATCGAATACCGGATGAAGAATTTCGATAATTTTATCGATAATGACACCTATAAGTGCATATGGTCTAAGTGAACTTTTTTGTTGCTGAGACCTAGTATCATTTTTAAATATTTTTTATTATTTATAGTACATCATTTTATACGGTAATCCATAGCCGAAGAAGAAGGTGAAAAAATGCTATAGCTTATTTGTATTACACCTCTTGTTTATACTCTAGTATTGCCCAGTCAGACGACCTATTTTTTTTAGCATCAACAGCAGCGTAGGATTTTCGCAGTGAATAAAAATTACTAAATAATGGACTCGTTCATGAAGTGAAAGAGAGGAGATACTACAAATTATTTAAAGTATTGATATGACTAAGTAAAGTATTAATAAACTTTTGTTAGGTTTTTATTGCCACCTTAATTTACCTCCATAGGTACGTATCTTTACTTTACCATTGTTCCTACCTATGACGTAAGTAAAGAACAAAGAAGTAAGAGGTGTTTCCTCCCAACGAAATTTCTATAAAATATTTAAAAAAATAGTACGAAAAATCACATGGAACATAAGCTTTCTAGCTATTGAAGTAAAGCTGAATTTGGATAAAATTCTGCGGTCTTCACGAATGTTAAATTGAGAGGTTAGCATCTGCAGAGAAAAAATGGTTTAGCCCCAGTGACGCGGTTGAGAGAGAAGTGCTGGGATCTCCTGGAGTCATGATTTTCCCTCCACAGTTGGAGGGACAAGTCTGGTTTGGAGTTCTCTCGCCAGGTTGCAAATATTGTATAAAGGTATGTATGTGTTCTTTTTATTTATTTATTTTATTTTTATTTATTGTATATATACTATTTTTCTGTATGATTTATTTTATTTATTGTACATAAATGAGTGTGAATGTGATCTGTGAACACTATTATAAATGTCCTTGAGACAGATTGTAATATTTTACAATAAATAAGTTTAAAATAAATAAAAAATTAAGCTGGCCAATTTACAGAGGGCTACGGTGTGCCTTAGGAGGATCTCACTACCCTAGTGTCGCCCCACGGCCAATGAAACAGAAAAAATAATTTTTCTGCCATGAGCCTGGATTCGAACCTGGGACCTCGAGCACCAGAAAGATTTGTGCCCCACCACTGAACTACCCCACTCCGTAAAAAATGTATATAGCTAGAATAATTGGTCTAATAGATTATATTTAATGTTGACAAGTTCATGAATAAATATTAAATGTATTTGATAAAATTTATTATTTCGAGGAAAATTGCTTTTTTCATCCTTAATTCTCCACTCCCTGAATAATTTCGTCCCGTTTGTGTTTAGTAGAGCTACAAACACATCATAAGCTTCGAAGCAGCTGGGCGAAACCCGAATAATTTTTCTCAAGTATCTATCAAAGCCCCACTATTACTCTAAGATCTATGGAAAACAGTTTAGTGATTTAAATTAACACTGAAAATTAAGAAATGGTGGACAAATTTTCTTTTTTCGAAACCTGGAATTGGAGAAATAAGATAATACAGAGCGGTAAGAATTGCGCTGATATAGCAACGTCTCCAATAGCTGACAGCAGTAATTCTAAACTTCCTCTAGTTTCACTTTTATAACACTTTCGTTTTCCTTATCGAGATTTGGATCAATTGTAAAAAGAATAAAATTTAAAAAAATATATATTTTTCAAGATATTTCACTAAAACAGTTGATTTCCTAAACCTAAATTTTCTATTATCTTCTTCTGAATTAATCTATCGAGAATCATTTCTTATGCTAGAGATATTCTACTACTTCTTTATCACAAATCGTTTTTGTCCTATCTCGTTTTCTTCTTTGTTCTATTTGTTTATTTAACTTAATATTTAATATCAGGTTAAAATGAAAAAAAAAATAACTACACAGCCTTATGTTTCCAAAATGTAGTTAAAGAATAAAAACTAGTCAACATTTCAATAATTCCGGTATCATCGGAAGAGAAAAGAAAAGCAAATCCAAGATCACATTACTCAGTGACAGATAATCGCATACTGAAAAAAAGGAAGATAACACAGCTGACGAAGGTTATAAGAAGGTTATAATAAACAGCTGATCAGAGAAAAAAAAGGACAGATTGTTATTATTTATATTTAATTATTTTTTAATTCGTATTAAGTATTAACCAATTATTAAATTGCTGCCATGAAAAGGTTATATTTTGACTAAACAAGTGCCTTTTAATTTATAATAACTGTATATAGTCCGTTGTATAGACGTTTTTTTATCAAATTATTAACATCCACGTAACCTGCAACTATTTTATTTACGAAAATTCTCGTAATTTTGACGTTTTAAATCTGAAGATTGGCATACTTTGTCTATTTAATTAGGCGCTAAAAACTGGTCAATACCCATTTGCTTTCAACTTGAATCGCAAGATAATTTGATTAGAAAATCGGAGAAACGCCCTATATAACCTCGTTATTTTGACAATTTGGGGGTGTAGGTGACGCCAAACGGCTCAATATTTTTGAAGGCCTCTTTTTTGCTTGACTTTGCTCTCAAGTTATCTTACAATTCAAGTGATAAGCAAATGGGTATTTACGATTTTTTAGTACCTAGTTAAATAGACAAAGTATGCCGACCTCTAGATTGAAAACGCCCCAATTCCGAGAATTTTCGTAAATAAAATATTTGTTGGTTACAATAAGAAGAATTTATTTAATAAGTTTCAGGAAGATACTAATAATTCGATAAAAAGGAATCTGTACCACAGACTATAAAGAATCTCAGAAACTAAAAATCGGTATTGCATGCTGTAAGCGAGAGAAATGTTCAAAATTCCATCCTCTTTATGATGAGCTATTATTTATAATTTATATTTCATGTTATTAATCTCGCATTGTTGATGTTTTCATTTCGATCGTGTGGTCTAAAGCACACACCTTGGTTGTTTTGTTTTTTTTAGTGTCAACTCGAAAGTTGAAAAAGAGCTGAATGAAAGACCTCCCTGACGACAGGAGGTGGTGTTTAGATTATTTACATTTCTTGCCATGTCTGGATTATCTCTAGATGAGACAGATATTTAAACTATGAATATTTGTATACAAAACTAAGGTCACTCAATTCAGAAGAACAGAAACTGCATTGGCTGGAATTCCTAATACACTGAAAAAATATATATAAGAAAAAAAGCTTTCAAAAAAGTTATCAAGCTAGGAATGTGCATTCCTTTCAGAAGACCAATTAGAGAATCATATAAAACCTATATTAGCCATTAGTCGTCAAAATTAAATATATAGAACAAATTCCAATGTTTTTACCTCCAGGAAGGCAACTTTCTTCCCCGTTAAAAAAAAAAAAATGCATAGTAAATTAGTTTTATTTAGCATCTCGATTTGGAAATGTTAGAAGACTAGTGGATTCATATCTGATGCTAACGTCGCCTATTAGCATTTCTCGGAACCATTTTAATTTATAAATTAGTTCCTTATCTTTCGGAACATCGCCAAACTACAAAAACATTTTCAACTGGTATCCCCAGAAGAAAGGGAAGAGAAAAATTCGTATCTTGGAAACGGCTCTGAACAAGGCACTGAAGTGTGAGATCGAATCAAAATCAGAACCGAAAAGAAATTACTTGACAACAACAAAAACTGTTAATTATCACACAATAGAGATTGTTGTTTCCAAATAGTTATATTTGGTATACAGGATGTTTCAGGATTAAGTGGCCAAACAGCAAAAATGAACTAAGGATCTCAAAACAAGAAAAAAAAATCCTCTGAAGGTATGTCCGCAAACGCTATGTTTAGATGATATTCACACCCACAGATTTTCGTTGTTATGAATTATTTACGTTATATGAAATAAATAAAACCTCACATCACAAGGTTTGTGATGAGGGATTGAAGAGTTTGGGATGCAATTGTTGAGTCGCTATGAACTGATAGGACACATGTGTCTTCGGGATGGGTTGTAATAACGGTTTTTGGATGGGTTGGGATTTCAGCTGTATAGACTGTGTAAAGAATAGGACCTAGGATGCTACCTTGAGGAACAGCAGCAGACTGGGGAAAGAGGAAAATAAAAACTTGACACTTAAAAAAACGCAAAACTTAAATTTCTTACTATTCTGCGAAAAATGGGACCATAGTTTATATGAACGTTTTATAGCTCTTGAGATTACCTGTTTATGTATTACCCTTTACTTACAGGACCTCATGTATACATAAATTTAGACCTTCGGAGATGGCTTTAGTTTCCTTGAAGTCATTTCAGTTGACGCTACAGTCTATAACAACATTGGGTTTTCAGCAGCCATTTTGGAATATAATCGTGGAAATGTCGTTGAGCTCGATTATTGACTAATGTTTAAAACTTATACTAGCGTCGAAACGAAGGACAAGATTTCGAAAGGCATACCGTGATGTAAGTGGGAGGATTGCGTTCACAGTAACCTTTCATCCTATACCTTTTTTATTCCATTTAAAAATCATAATTAATAAGCTTAAAATCTGGTGCTCTGGAAATTTGGTTTGGCCAAAGTGTATCGGGTATTGCTAAAAACTTAAGTTAAGATAGATAATAAATTATTATTAATAGTAATAATAAAACATCGGTAAAATGTATGCCTCTTTTATTATAGTATGTATATTCAAGTTTTAGTTACGAAGTTGCTTTCAGATGTCGCAATCGATATCGGTATAGGTTAGTTCAAAACCTCTTGTACGAGATGCAGGAAATTCCCTTCCTCGGGATCTGGAAGGCCGTGGTACTCTCGTCCATTCCTCGGCACCCCATTCTCATCGTCTTCCAACATTATAATTTTTTTAAATAAATTATATTCGTCATTATCTGCAACATCAATAAATTTTATACTTATTTATTTGAGTCGCTTATTTCTAAATTGAGCTCCAAAAATGATTTTTTTGGAAATCGAAATAAGTATCGGTTCCCACACATAAAAATCGATTAATTTTTTCCTAAGAATGTAATAAAACTTGCATTTCTCAAATATGCTTAATTGATTCGTTTTACATGAATGAAAATTAAAAATAAATTCATTTTATTCTATTTGAAATAGAACAATTTTTTCAACTCTCCCTCCACGAATCACAAACCATTTTTTCTTTTCATACCGAACCCCCATCTACCGATTTTATTTAAAACAGGCTATGGAGTTCAATTATTTCCAAAATCAGTCCTATTGAAGTTTCAATGTTTTTCTATTAGTATAGAAATTATCAGTGACATTCGAAAATATGCGCTATAGTTAATGAATATCTTAATTTATTTTTTTTAAATATTGGTTGTATTATTACTTCGGTGCTCTAAAAATTCATCGAATTCTTTCCGGTATACAATCCTTAGAACTCAAAATCCACAGTATAACGAATGCTTAGTGCTGCTTATCATGTCCTTCTCATTACCTAAATATTATGCTTGTTGCGGACTTTTAATTTTTGCTGAATTAAATGCTGCCGTGGTGGAGGCTCAACTCCCAAAAATTGTTACTGTATGAAATTTGTGAACATATCTGTCATATACAAAAATTTGAGCAAAAATAATTGTCTAAAATAAAAGTAAAATTATATTTTATTACTTATATGGATTCATAAACTAACCTAAACTGTAAAAGGAATCATTGCAATACTGTACTGTTTTATGTAAATAATGTAAATTATGTAAATAAGGTACTGTAAGTATTTTGTGTAAATTTTTTTTTGTCATTAGGAAGGGATTGAAACTACTAAGTTCCTTCTTCAGATGGTAATTTTTCATGTATGCATATTTTATATGTATATTGCATATACACATATGGAATACATTCCAAACATAATATCCTCACCCTCCCAGATCATCCCACTTCATCTTATAGTTTCCCCTCCCCTACCCTAATAATTTTCATAAGTCGGCGCCTCTGTCCTCATCCTTCATTTATATCATAGAAAAATGAAAAAATAAACGAAGAAGAAATACTGCGTAATAGCCGACGCAATATTGTTTATTACTGTATTTTGTATACTACCCATGTTAGACATGACATATTTTCTTGGAAGGGTATTTGTTTGTGTACTACGTTTTTCTTTTCAGTTGTGTAACACTAAACACTCCGTTGTGTAACGGATCTACTGGAGGGTTTTCGGGCTGAAGCCCTCCCCAAATGGTATAATGTAACCATTTTTTATTAAAAAAAAATATATATATATTAAAAAATTATCTCTGTAAGTATTATTATTGGTGTAATTACATGTAACAGGATTTCAAGAATCACTTAAACACCATTTCATAAGGTAGATAGTATCTTTCTTTTAAAAAAAGCTTTCGGGCTGAAGCTCTCCCCCCCCAAAAAAAAAAATTAAATCCTGGATCCGCTAATGGTGTAACACTGCCAAAAATGTTGTCTTGCGAAAATCTTTCGTCTGACCAGGTCATTCCGTTTCTTTTATCTTAGTTTTCTCCTCTTTTACCCTTTCCTCCCGAAAGCTCCCTCCAGCCTTAGATCCGCCCATGTAGCAAATTAAAGACAATGAAGAAAGAGGTGCAACCGTGGACCAGCTCCAGACGCAGCAGTCGTAGAGAAGAGGTCGACCTCACGCGGCTGAGGATCGGACATACTAGACTGACACACCTCCACCTCATAACAAAAGATGTTATCCCCATATGTCAAAAGTGTGACCAGTCATTAGCCATAAAACATGTTTGGAAGAGTACCCTTTTTACACCGCAAGGTTAAAATATCTCGGAATACCGCAGAATATATGAGCATCCATGAGAAATCATCAAGAAATCGTTACCAGAGTTATCAAGTTCCTAGATAATGAAAGACTTAAACAACATATATGACCAGTTTATAAATAATGATGCTTTGCAGATTTACTTTTTTTATTTATTTACTATTTTTCATTATATTTTTTTTTATTTTAAACGTTCATTTGTTTATTAATTTCAATTCATTTATTGATTTTATTGCTATTTTTTTAAAGTTGATTTATTTATCTTTTCTATCTTATTATCTATAAGTGTCTATTGTTATTTATTTATTTTATTCTATCAATCCTTTTATTTATTTTTTTTATTCTTATTTTTTGTACCAACCGTCCATTATATAACCATAACATTATAAAAGTAGTGCTATTTAGTTGATCGGACGCTGATGACCTGGATGCTTTGCTCCTAGACTTCGAAACAAACGAAAGGAATAGTGGATTTTTTTTATATATACCCTCCGTATTAACCGACTCTCTCGGTCCGGCTATGTCTCGTTCCCGTCGGGGACGGATAAGCGGGAGTCTACTGTATATATAAATAAATACCGAAACAAATATATAAACATATCCTTTCCTATCTAAACATAAATAACACACATCTAGCCCTAGAGATAGAGGAAATATATAGAGGAGTATAGAAGGCGACGCAAAATAAACTCTAAATATTTACCGATAGTCTGAGTGGGCTGGAGAGGGGCCAGATGATGGTAGTGGTGCGGGCAGACAGCAGGGCAACCCCGCCAAGAATAGCGGCTCATCAATCGGCTTCCTTACTGTGCCACTGCCTCTTCGCCTTGGGCAGCCTCGTCATCTTCAGCAGGGCCTCGAACTCTGAATCACTAAGAAAGAGAAAGAAAAACAATACCTAAACAACCATTCTACAATAAGTTTTACCTATAGACCTCCTGGCCTCAACAAACCTGGAAGACCGAAAGAGTCATTCCAAGATTCGAAAAAAAGCATCTGTAACGGGCTTTTTTCGTACCCTCCTTTCTGTACATAAGACTAGTTTTAAAAATAGTTACTATAAGCACTAAATACTAAGAGAGTTACCCACTGTCCTCCTAACGGCGGACCAACCCCCATTTCACAAATTATACAACTATTAATTTAATTAAGGAAGGAGGATGGTCCGGAATGGCGGTTATAAATAGGCTGAATAGTGGCAAAACTATTTTATTAAAAGCCAACGTTTCGACCAGTCTTCGCAGGTCTTCTTCAGAGCTAAAACGGACAAGTTACAAAAAGATGGAGAATTGTGGAAGTTACATAATATTATGACAAAAAAATTATAAACAATGTGAATAAACTTATTAAAATTATAAACAGTAAGTACATTAAAATATAAACAGAGTAAGTTAGGTAACAAGGTCCTAAAATGAAGTAAATAGATGGTAACAATTGTTGTAGTGTAATGTATAATATATGCAAATGTGAATATACTTCTACAGATCCACAGGAGATATTGAAAGAAAAGTAAAAGGGATATAATATGAAATAATAGACATAAAGGAATGTGGAGAAAGAAAAAACAAAAGTAAATAAAAATAGAAGAATAAAAATAGAGACTTACACCTACTTCTACTAATTTTATTTACTCCTTTTTTTTTTCTTCACTTTCCTTTATGTCTATTATTTCATTCTTATAAATATTCGTTCTTTAAATTTTTTTTTTTCAATCATTGCAGATTGGTATCTTGGTGTTAACAAAAAAATGCTTCTCAATCTATGAGTTAAATGAATCTATGAATTATAGGAAATTGTTCTTATAATTCAGTCTATTACAATTAACCAGAAGTAAGAATTTATTTATAATATAACATACTACAGGAAGAGAGAGGACCACTATTCTACTTCAGTTCTCATTTTTTTTTTCAATTTTAATTCTTTTTTCAATAATAATAAATGACAAAATAGTTATTTATTTTCAATGGCAGGAAGCCCACGGTAATATTTCTGCTTGCTCCATCACTTTCATTTTTAAGCAAGCAGCACCAAGACAATCGAAACGCTGCGGCAAACAATCCCTCGTCCAAATATCGCAGCTCCTTATTCAAAGGGGTCTTTCAACTTCGCAGAACTATATTTTTATCTCTTAATACGTAGAAATTTTCGTTGTAATTTTCACCAGAAAAATACCATTAAATTATCCTAATAATAGTTATGTTTATTTAAATATAAATCATTAGCTCTGCAACTCCAAGTCTATATTTTATGTAAGTCCAAGTCTATGTAAATAACTTATATAGTTCTGCATATAAAAACTGTGGCATTAGTGCGACATGGATTCCTCTCTCTCAATAAGTGCTGTCAATTCGTAGAATGTCTGTTAAGCTGGTACCAATACACAGTCGGTACGCGCAATATGGTTAAATCACTCCCAAAGTAAGAACAGGAGTCTTCTTTTTCATGATATCCGCGGATGAACTAATATGACCTGCCCTCAGACGAATGTGAATACATCTAGTTATAATATTATAAAAAATCTAGTGTGGGGCGCGCATCACACAACTTTCACTTACCACCCTCATCTTAGCATAAATAAGTATTTTGACAAAGGGGAAGTTACAGTTAAAATTATAGACGCTATATTATTTATATTAACTTGTAGGTACTTTTATTTGTTTAAGTAACCTTATATATACATACAAATTTTGATTTTTATATCACTGTAATCTATACAATTAAATATGAAATAATACCAACGATGACATTTATAAAAACTGCATATGTGTATGTACATAATATTGTCGGAGTCCGTATTATATTAAACTCATGTTACGTCCGGAAGCCTGTTCTAATCTTTCGGGCGAGCTCGTATTCCTTTGTTTCCTCCAAAACTATTCCTCCGTTACGATCACTTATTTTTACTTTAAATAATTATCAAATTCATTCATGTTTTATATTTAAATAGTTTTTATATTAGAGATCATTGTGAAATGGTTAATTATTTCTAAAAAAAAAAAATTGAAAGTACTTTAGAGGAAGCTAATATAGAAAAAAAAAACCATTAAAGCCCTGTTAGAGAATATCGATGAGAATAAAACCTACATTATATTTAATACTGCTTAATTTTACAATGATATAGTGAATTTAATCAAAATCAAGAGCGTTTTCGTGAAAATTGTAAAAATGTGTTAAATCGATCATATCAAATGCCACTTCCGGTAAGCCGATTTTGATGGAAAAGTTGGTGTCACATCTCAGGCATACAAAAACCATAAATACGCAATTTCACTTTCTTACAAATTTTCGGTTTTGAGCTAGACTGTCAACACACGCACACACAGATCTTTTTGGGAGACTTGATTACTGGGACTCAGAGGACTTCAAAACGTGTATTTACGTTAAAGACTGAGATTCGAAAATTTTCACGATCGCAATACTTTCTTTTACTATATATTTCATGTATAGGTAAGTGAAAAAGTAAAATATAAGAGAGTCAATCATAAAATCCAGACCCCAAAATTCCTTCCTTAACATTTCATAATTCCTTAAAGTTTTGTGGGACTATCATCCAATGCAGCGAATGTTATAATTTACTCGTTCGTCGTTATAATTTTCTTCTCATTTTATTCCTTCCCACTTCTGTCTGTAGAGCTCATAACGAAGTGGACAGAATTAATACAGGTGTTAGTTTAGAATTCCTTGAGAGCCAAAATAATATATTCTTCTATATTTTGCACTTGTCTCCTTTTTACACCCAGCTTTTCCAAAAAAAAAATCAGCAGTTGAAAATGGAACCGCTCCTCAACTTCCGCACCAAAGTCTCCAAACCAAAAATTCTCTATTTTTATCCTATTTTTACCCTATATATAGATCATATGTTTACTACAGTTTCTTTATTTTTAATATTAAGAATTTTAATATTATGAAAATTATTATTTATTTTAATATAATGATAGCAAAAATTTAAGGTAACATTTATATAACAACTTTGTAAATTAATTAATTTTTAATTGTCATTTAATTATTCACAATCGCCAGACATTGTCATTTCTTTGTTCATTGTAGTTATTCTGAGAGAACTAAATATCCCAGAATAAAATTTACTCTCTTTCTTTCTTCTCTTTCTATATTTCTCCTCTAGGTGATCAAAACAAAAATCTGTTTATTAAGGAATTTTCCACTTTACTGGTTATTCTTGTCCTAAAAATCTTCAATTGCCATGGCCTTCTATTATTGTACCTCGTATTTACATTTTACATATTGTCTTCCTTTTGACATAATCATCCTTGTTCTTCGCCGCAGTCAGGTAATTTACAAATTATATCTTGTATAAATATTTTTCAGAGAATAAAAAGCAGTTTTATCATTTTCAAATTACTTCCATTCGTTTCATAGCATTTGGCAATGTTTCGAGCTTCTACTGACAATTTCTAAATCAGTTATACTAAATTATTGTACCTTAATGTTCAATCGTTATAATCTTGCATATTAAACATTAGAAAACCAGTAATAATAAAATTAGTCATATATTCAACTTCACATGACCAACGATATTGAAATAATCTCAAGTATTAAAGTTCCATTCACTGGGCATTTTCTGTTTTATTACTTACGACTTAATGGCTACGCTATCTTCCACATCGCATTTCATATACTTATACGTCATAAAAAGACGTTCATTAATGCAAAATATGTAATATGTCGTTTATAAATATGTCTTCGTCATTTCAGGAGCAATCAAGTAAAGAAAAAAAATACTTTTATAGATTGATAAAAGCTACCAAAGAATGCTTCATCGAGAAGTCGTACTTAACATATTCAGCATACTTTGGAGAATACATTTGTGTAAAAGGATGTAATTAAAAAACGGATTTAGGGAACCTTTTAGCAAGCGTTAAAAGGTTATTAAACCTTATGTTATTGAATTTGCAATCATCTTGCAAATAAGTGCACGCATAGTTGTTCCTCTAACACCACTTGAACATTACTTCAAAATGAATACGTTGATAAAACGGAAAAAGGACTTATTTCCGTTAAATTGTTTACAGAGACGCTTTATTTATTCTTTCCTCAAATATTGGCTATAAACCGCATAAGAGTATCGATTAAGCATCAACTAAGCAGAGTTGCCCATCCCCCTCAAGGTCGATGGTGCATGACCCCCTTCCCCATCCCTTCTACCAAGATATTTTATTGCTCACGCCTTCCAAAAAACAAATCGTAGATCATATACAACTACACTTGCTACGGTCTGATACATGTTTTTCTAAATTTTCATTCCGGAAATCCATAACTCCGTCAAAAATTCAAAACCCCATCAAAACGTGTCCCATAAAAAAATTTTGATGGCGCAAGATGCACCATCATACCCCCCTCTAGGCACCCTTGTAGGTAAGTATAGAGAGAAAAAAGGTTTTAATTCACAATAATGTTATTGTTTTTGTTATTTTGTTATCTGTGCAATCAATCAAGGTGAAAGAAGTAATTTTTACTGAGTTCCATAAAAGTATTCTTCAGTGCCGGCCTTAGACATTCAGCGTCCCCTGGCAATGACGTCACTCTCTCCCTAAAAAAAATCAACTTATTTCTTAAGCTCTTTTTACTTATGTAATATTTGAATTTTATTTCATTTAAAATTTCTCTCGTACAGTTTAATTTATAACAAGTGGCTAGCGCCCCTGAAGATATTTCGGCGCCCCCCTAGGCGTCCCGGGTTAATTGCCCCACCCTAAGGCCGGCAGTGGTATTATTTTTTGAGGGAACGTTCAAATGGTGTTAACGGAATTCTTATGCATGCCACCCTGAAAGAATGTAGTGTAAAGTGTAGGAAGTAAATTTGAAAATGTACTTACTTGAACTAATTTAGAGGACCATAATTAGCGTGAAAATTAAGGTATTTTTTGCAAAATGGTGCATTCAAATATTATCTATTTTAATAACTTTCATGTAAAAAGTAATATTAGGTATTATATTACTTACGATCCTATATTTTCGGATGACAAAGATGCCAAATCTTGTTGTATCTCGGTCATATGATAGACTTCTGTAACTGTTAACAAATATTTTTGCGTATTAATAGAAAATAACTTTATTCTGGGACAAAGTCTCTTTAGAATAACAAAATAGTACATAATTACAAGACTACATCTGGCCAAAATAAAACAATAATAAAGAAAGAGAAAGTAAGAAAATATTAGTTAAACAACCTATATACAAAAAAAAAAAATATACAAAACACTTAAAACTATGTACAGTAGAGATAAATTATAATTATACACTTTTGAAAAATAAAATAATAAAAAATACATTGAGTTCTACTTTAAAATGAGATGTGTTTCTGCTAACTAAGGAAAGAAAAATCTGACAATATAAAATGTCAGAATATTTAAATAATGGATAATATCTAAACACACCATTATCTTATTGTAACTATTGATACAAATTTATTTGTATAAGAATAAAAAAAAACAAAAAAAAAAAAACAATAGATGCATTCAGTGGCATTAAGAGTAGGAAGATATTCTAAAATCAATAGTGAAGTTTACAGTATGGAATAGTACCGTCATTTGATGATGAATGATATAATAAAAATGTATAATATCAAAAGTTTAGCAAGTATCTGACGGTTTTTGGGATAGGAATTGGAATAGGAGGGATTTGAATGTGGATATGGAGGGGGAATGCCGAATTTCGATAGGTAGAGAATTCCAGAAATTGACAGCGCGAGCTATAAAAGAGTTTTAAAATGAGGAAGATCTGTGAGAAGGGATGTAGAGGTCAGAAGATCGAGATCTTGTTGAAAGGGAATGGACTGAGGATTTGAACTGGAGAATGTTGTAGGCGTAAGAAGGACGATGGTTGTTGATGATTTGATAGAGGAACGTACCTAGGAAATATTGTCTTCGGAGGAGAAGAGCCACCTTAACTCAGTGCAGTGGTGAGAGACATGGGAGTACCTCGGGGCACCAATAACAAATCTTACGCAGCTATTCATCGTTAGATGTTATCTAGCTATTAAAATATAACATCGACAATTGTTAGTCGATCTGTCTTTTTCGAAAATTTTGCAACGCAATGTTTATGATGTAAGGCCATCACAATGACTCACGGTCCACCAAAAACGATTCACTGAGTTGACACCTAAAGGAAACGTTGCAAAAAAAACATTACCCCTCAACCTCACTATCAGCTCAACCAATATGGTGGTGAGACTTGTCAGGTGGTTGGTCAACTACAGCTGACGATGTTGGTTCATGTCATGAATTAATTATATAAATAAACAATATATTAGTTATTTCTTAAGGAATCAATTAATTACAATAAATTTTATGATAATTAATTAAAATTTTAAGCCAGAATTCTGCAAACTTTTTGGCCTTCGGATCACGTTGGGACCATCACTAATAGCCCGTAATCGTTACAGCAGTTTTGGCGTTGTAGTCTATAGCGACACACGTTTTTTTTTTTGCCATACATCTCGAAACCAGAGAACGGATGATAATGAAATGTATATAAAAACAAACTGGTCTATTTTTTCTTGGCCTATTTACATAACAATTAGTATTTTTGGTAAATTAAAAATATGTTTATGATTCGATTTTAAAAATCGAAAGTATCGGTAGCATTGGTGTTTGGCTTTCAAAGGTTTTGAATAATTGACATTTTAGTCATCATAAGCCATGATCCGCAAGTCTTAGGAATGGAGCCAGGGCGCAAAAATCGATCTGATCGCAGGCGAAATTTTGATTGTTAATGGCGAAAGTGTATGTTATTCTGAGTAAAATGAACTTCTACCATTCCAGACCCACTGCTTTCAAAAGTAGCGGCTGATTTAAAGAATATTAGGCCAGTAGGAGGATTGAAACGGGAAACCCTATAGTATGTATGGCTTTAGACATGTAAAACCCAAAATTGTTAACGCGGGACACCAACGAAAAACTTTATACATATAAGTATATATTTTTTTTCACCTATAACTCATAAGCGATGCATCGAAGCGAAAAGTTTATTCTTTAAGAAATTACAGAACGTGCGTCGAACGAGTACTTAAACATAATAATTTGGTTACGTAGTGAGGAATAAAACCACGGCCAACTAACGCTGATTTTAACCAAATTTATTAAAAACTGCGACAAATTACTATAAATTACGCTGTAACTTGGAAATGAACGTTCTAAGAGGAAAAACACATAGAACTAAAGTTGTAGAGTATAAAATTTTGCGTCCACTGAGTACTGACATTTTTATTTTAGGTTCGAATCGGAATTCGTTAATTCTTTATGAAATTCGGTATCTTTCGACAAATTGTTCATCAAAATCCTTCGCTGCTAAGAGGCGAAAAAGAGGCTGCACAGATACTGCATATAACACCCAATAAACAAAAATAAATCAGATGAATAGACACCGAAACTATTGAAATATTGGAAATCACTACGAATTTCATTACCAATTTCCATCTGGAGATTACCGATTTTGTTCGGAGTAAGTGACCTACATTAAAAACTTCTATGAGTTTTTCCGCTTAAGGAACTCATTTCCAAGCTATAGGGCCATTTATAGTAATTTGACTAGATTTTGACAAATTTTGTAAAAATCAGCGTTAGTTGACCGTAGTTTCCAAACCATAACCTTACCCAAATTACTAGGCATATTTTTAATTTACCATAAACTTTAATTGTTATATAAATAGACAAAGACAAAATAGTCCAGTTTGTTTACATATACATTTTATTGTCACCCGGCCTCTGGTTTTCGAAATGTGGGCCAAAAAACTTGTGTCGCTGTAGACTACCATGCCAAAACGGCTATAACGATTTTTATATAACTTGGCTAAAGTCTTCTTCTGGAATCCCTTTTTAATTTTCGTATATTTCATACTTCCTCGAAAAATTAATTGAAAAAATATAACGATGGATTCAGAATTATATTTTCGTATGTACGAAATGTATAACAGTAGAAACAAAATATTGGAACATACAAATTCATATATATTTTTCTCAAAGTTTCAATAATTTGTATGCTTGAATTTCGAACATGGGGTCTATGATCATGACTTTTATGTACAATATTTTAAAAAACAACCAAAATTTAGAAGCAAGATAAGATTTAAAAAGAGTAAATTTGGCATGAGAAGGTAAATTAAATTTGAAAGTAAATTAAGAAAGTGTAATTCATTTGAAGTAAAATGGACTTTGTTTCCTATTCCAAAGCCGCTAATTTGAAACAAAAAATATTAGGTCATGCAGAAGAAATCGAAACGAGGATAATTTTGTGAAAAAATTGGTAGCACTTATTTTTTTATTTAAATATTCGTGTAAACTTATAGTAAAAAAATAAAATTTCAACATGGGTTATCTCAGAAGAACTTATGGGAGAAAAAAAAAAATTATTTTTTTAATTTTGATATTTTTGTTTTTCCCTTATGACTCCTTAACCGTGCATCCAAGCAAAAATTATCAATTAAAGAAATTGAATAATGCGAAATTTTCCTTAAAATTACTATCACAACATAGTCGAAAACCTAGGGTCAACAAACAATGGTTTTTACCAGTTGAGACAAAAACTGAGATATAGGAGTATATATCTATAAATGATACTTCAGGTTGTGAATGATTAATAAATTACCTATTTAGTAAATAATTTTACCATATAATCAAAGAAACATTCGTGCAGTTTAGAGACTCCTGTTTAAAGCAATCAAAATTATATTTTTAACGTAGTTCACCACTATTTTACTGTACCGCTATCTTAGGAAACTTAAATTTTTAAATTTAACAACTCAAATAAAAGCAAATTGTAATTTTTGAAACAACTATTATTACTAATAATATTATTATTTGATGAAAAAAATTGTTTCTCTCAATCACATAAATATTTGCAGGTTAAAAACAAATTATTGCACTATTCAAAAAGTATCGCATTGAAAAAAAAAAAATGCATGTTACCTGGAGATTCATCCCTGCCGACGGTGTCTTCACTGCCACAGGCGCAAAACCTTTCACTCCTGCACATCTCCAGACATCTGGAAATTTGTTAATTCTGACGAAGAATAAGTAATTATCTAGTGCTAAGTGGAAAAGGAAGTCATAAATTATTCTTCTTCCACGACGGCGAAATAGTAATTTAGATAAATGAAAATTCGATAAATATCTTTAACAAATAAAGTTTCTCATTTAATGTATTTTTATATTAATACTCCGTGATACAGACCCCTTTTTTTCGAATTATTAACATCCGCCTGAAACTTCGTAAATAGCTTCCTCTCTCCGTAACATACAAATATTTTATTTACGAAAATTCTTGGAATTGGGGCGTTTTCAATCTGGAGGTCGGCAAACTTTGTCTATTTAATTAGGTACTAAACAGTCGTAAATACCCATTTTTTTTTATCGTAAGGTAACTTGAGCACAAAATAAAGAAAAAGTGTGGCCTTTAAAAATATTGAACCGTTAACCTCGTTATTTTGTCATGTTGGGGTGGAGATAACGCCAAACAAATGTCGAAATAACGAGGTTATACTGGCCAAACGTCCCAATATTTTTGTCGGCCAAATTTTTTCTTGACTTTGTGCTCAAGTTATCTTACGATTTAACTTGAAATAAAATGGGTATTTACGACTTTTTAGTACGCCTAATTAAATGGACAAAGTTTGCCAAACTCCAGATTGAAAACGTCCCAATTCCGAGAATTTCGTAAATAAAATATTTGTAGGTTACGGTGAGAACCTATTTACGAATTTTCAGCCGAATGTTAATGTTTTGATAAAAAGGGGTCTGTACCACGGACTATAAGGCGTTATCTTTGGAATCCCCTGAGAATGCGATATGCCAAAAAACTTAACTTTTTAATGATGGCTAACATATGAGCCTGTCAGTTGACAGAATGACTAACTCCAATTTCAATATTTTTTATTATTAACTTTAGTGATATTTCTAGTGGGAAAATGTACACCTTTATTCACAGTTCTATATTTCAACGCTGCAATCACCTACTCTGGAATTAGCTCACTAATTTTCTATACAGGTGTTATAAATTCTTCAACTAGAAATATCACTAAAATGAACTTTACTCAAAAAAGTTGAAATTGGAGTTAGTGATTCTGTCAACTGAAAGGTTTTTATAATACTTCATTTACTTATGTCTCTAATTATTATTTTAAAATTATATATACATATATATACTCGTTTTCTTCTTGGGAGGTTGGTTCATTAAGTGGGATGTCTATTAAAAAATGACACTGTATTCTAACATTTTTTTTAATTCCATTTTTTATTAGTATACAGAGTTGTAGTGGTACAAATTTGTTTTGTTGTTTTGTTGTTTTTTTTTGGCTTTTTTCTAAGGGGAGAAATAATCACTGACCTAAATACTATGCGAATCGTTTGCACAGACTCAACTATTGTAAAGCAATTAATAATTGGAGTCTTCCAATTATGGAATAGACTCGACTTAGCAGGTCTTCTTAAGGAAGGTGTGTTCAACAAAGAGTTTCAGGAGGTGGTCGTTTGTTTTGAGGAAAGAGCGAGTTGAGGATAAATCCTTAAAAAACAGAGGGGAAAAAGGGGACGAACGGGATGGAGGGAGTTAAAGGTGGTTGGAAGAGTATTAAGTTCTCAGTTCTAAGTGAAACTCCTTGTTGAACACACCTCCCTGAAGAAGATCTGCAAAGTCGGGTCGAAACGTTGGGTTTTAATAAAATAGTTTTGCCACTACTTAATCTTTTTATGACCCCCACCCCGGACCATCTTCTTCCTTATTTATTTATTTGTATTAAATAAATATTTGTTGTGCAATAACGAGTGAAGTAACACTAGTCAGTTTATTATTCTAAGGAATAAATAAATTAATGATTATTGAAAACATAACAAATTTTTATTTATTTGTTGTCCAAAAGTGTCCAACTGTGGCTTAATTTTTTCAGTTCAAAAACCCAATTAACATTTCTTTGGAACCTAAGTAGTTGGTAACTATAAAACAACTACGAAATATATTAATAAAATTCTCAGATTACCGATACACTTAATTTTATTTTCTTCATGAGATGCATTTATAACCCACTTATCTCTATGGTTCTCGCATAAGCTTTTGGACAAGACCCTGAATTTTCAATTTGATAAAAATGTTCCCTTTTTATCACAGGCGGATTTACGGGAGGCGGGGGCTTTCGGGCTGAAGCCCCCCCCCCCCAAAATGGTAAAATGTAACCATGTTTTATGGTGAAAAATATTGAAAAATTATGTCTTAAAGTATTATTGCTCGTTTAATTACATTTAATAGGACTTCAAGAATCACTTAAACACTATTTCATACAGGTAGTTAGTATCTTTCTGTTTTTCCAAAGCAATTATCGTTATATATATGAAAAAAAAAGCTTCCGGGCTGAAGCCCCCCCCCAAAAATTAAATCCTGGATCCGCTAGTGCTTTTTATAGAAGTTCCAAGGTAAGGAGAGAAAGAAAAGGAAAACATTTATCTATCAATCAAAGTTTAATGTGAGCAGTATAATCTATTTTTAAGTAATATAAGTAAAATAGGCTTAAGACGAGTAGTTACATATAATATTATGTATTTTTGGATATATTTTGGCAGAAGTGATTTAAAGTTCATACTGAGACAAAAAAAGAGAAAATATGACTGAGCAAAAGAAAAGTTAAAATAAAAAATGAAATGAAAAATTAACTTTTTTCTAGGACTTAAATCCCCTTAGAATAATAACAGAGTTCGAAAAATGTAAACATCAGTCGGTACTTAGATATAATGCACATATATACAAAAAATACTAATTGAAAAAAAAAATTCAGATATATAAAAAAAATACAAAGGGAAAAATAATTACAAAAATATGGGATAATAAATATGGTGGAAACTCTAGTTGGACCATTGTTCTATTGGTTACTCAAATTACCAGTATCATTTTGTAATACAACAAAATAATCGTGGATTTTCACTTTGTTCTTATTGCACAATATCAATCAATCATTATGAACCAATATTTTCCTTATAATACAAAGAATAAATAATTAAACTTAAATAATTTATAATATTTAATACTCACATACAATTGTTACAACAGCAGAACCATATGATGAATATTATTTGTAAGAGGAGTAGTAGCAAGAAGAGCAAGAGCATAAAATACATTGCAGTTTGGGAACAGCTGAAAATAATTATTAATATATTATTTCTGTCGTATTAAAATAGTAAAATAATATATAATAATACTTATAAACATATACATTTTTTAAAAATTCTTTGGTAATCCATAATAATCCGTGGTACAGGTTTCAGGTCAATAGGTAAATAGGTCATCTCATCGTAACCTACAACTATTTTATTTACGAAAACTCTTGTAGTTGGGGAGTTTTCAATCCGGAGGTGGAGGGCAAACATTGTCTATTTAATTAGGTACTAAAAACTCGTAAATACTCATTTGCTTTCTAATTGGATCGTAAGATACTTGTCACTTCAAAAATATTGAGCCGTTTGGCGTGACCTACACCACCAAATTTTAAAAATAACGAGGTTATATAGGACAAACGGCACAATACTTTTGTATGCCACCTTTTTTCTCGATTTTGTGATCAAATTATCTTACGATCCAAGAAGAAAGCAAATTTGTAATTACGAGTTTTTAGTAGCTAATTAAATAGACAAAGTTCGTCCCTCTCTAGATTGGAAACGTCCCAATTACAAGAGTCAACTAGTAAATAAAATAGTTGTAGGTTACGATGAGATGAAACTATTTGTGAAGTTTCACGCGGATGTTAATAATTCGATAGGAAGAGGTCTGTACCATGGACTATAATAATTTAAATCACTGAATGATTTTTAACTTACCTATTCTTCTCGAGATAAATTTTCGAAGAGTCTTCTTTTTAAGTATCCTTAAAAGTTTTCAAAAAGGTATGTTGTTTTATAATTCTATTTATATTTGAACCATCATTTACATCATAAATTGAGAGTAAGTTTTTTAAAAAAAAGTTCATTAGTGTCGAAAGGTCAAATTTGTATTATAAATTTGTTTCAAAGGATACTCATAACTCATGCACAATATATCGGAGACATTTTTATTGGAACAAAAAATTTGACTAATAATATTGTTCTTTATTCAGTAGTTAATGAAATATAAAATTAAACACACACACACACACACACACACATATATATATATATATATATATATATATATATATATATATATATATATACATTAGATTTTAATATAACTCTTTAATTATAATAGTTTTTTATAATAAAATAAAAAATATAATATATATTACACGGGTAGTTGGGAATTATGCCTTTAATCGTCAATTAAAACGGTAGCGCTACCATCTAGCGGGGATCCCTAGAACTAAAACCAACTCGGCTCGATTATATTTATATCGGATTATATTGATCTTTTAATTGATATATTTATTTAAATATAAAAAAACAATTTTCAATATACAGCTACGATTTAAACCTATTCTAGAGATTTTTCAATCATAAAACAACTCATACTTTCTTTTTTAAAAAATCATCAGAAATTTAACATATAAAAACAAAATGCCTTTTTACAATTTTCTGAAAATGTCAGGTATATGCTTTCGAAATGAAATCAATCATATTTTCTCCCGAGATTTCATTATTTGAATTGAATTTATGTATTTTAATTTCATTAAATTGAAAATTACATTTTTACTATGTATTTTACTAAGTTACTACATCAAAGAGGCCCCCTATGTATTATACAATTTCTATTATACTATTAGAAATTAGTACAACATTACATTTTTTAAAATTATTATTGTTTTATTACAGTTTAAAGTTAAAAACATATTTCTTATTGATGATAATGGAAATTAAAAGAAAATCTTACCTTGCTTTGTCTGATTCTGATGAAGTGGTTTGACTACTATCCTTGCATTTGTACGGAGGACGAGTTGGTTTGGGACATTTACGATCATCAAAAGGTGATAAGCTTACATTGCATTGACCCTTAGCCGTCGACCATGATAAGCTGCACAAAATTAATATTAAATAAAAAAATTATTTTAACAAATAATATTTCATAATACTATTATTGGTGGAAATGGTCATATGTAACAATTTTCTATGTTAATTATATTTGTGCTGAAGGTGACATTTTGTATTCTTCAACTGCAACTATGGAAAATAGTATAAGAAAATAAAATATGAAATTATACTAATAAATCATAAAGAATTAATCAGTTCTTATGGTCTTTTGTAAAAAAAAATTCAATTTTTACATACGATTTTCTGCATTAACAGTAACGTATATTCATACTTTATATTAAAATTATTTCGAAATTATATAAATATATATTTTTTAAGCTACTATATCTTCAAGAAAAGAACACTATAATTCCAAATTTTGGAAGAAACTAATTACGAAAAAAGGGACCACCATAAAAAGAAAAAAAAATGTTCCTTAAAAAAATCAAATCTTTGTTTCGACAGCTTGAGGTAATAACCCAATAAACCCTCAACTTAATTAGTATAGACTAAAAGCTTATTAAACAACGAAGTTTTTCTAAAAGTGGGGTAACTGTTGTATATGTAATTGTTGTAAATGGATTAAGGTTAAATGCTGCCAAAACTCAGGCCATTGTCATTGCTTGCTTCCAAGCCCCTTCTTAGATCCCATACCGACTTTCCTATCCTTTTTTTTTTTTTTTTTTTTTGTTCTTCCCTACCTCGCCTTTCAGGCTATACGGGATTTTCCCGGGCCGAGGGGTGAGGGCGGGGAATTTAAAATCCCCTCCGGCACCGGGACGCGAACTCGTACTTTTTATATCATCTCAAATCTCTGTTATCCGGTTGCCAGGCAACTAACTAGCGGTGCTGTTACACACGCTTTAGCCTATTCGGCCACCCCGCCCCCCCCCCCCCCGACTTTCCTATCCTTCACCTTAATGACCAGCCAATCTCCTTCTACTCCTCTGTTAAAAATTTAGGATTTTTCATTGATCAAAATCTCTTCTGGAATCACCTTTCGACGGACAATTTCCACCCTCAAACTATTCCATCGCTTCCGCCATTTCCTACCTCAACATACGCATAGACTCCTAGTTTCCATTCTCATTTTTCCCCGCTTTGACTGTAGCTGTATGGTGTATTATGGCCTCTCTGTGGAGCTCCGCGATACACTGAAAAGACTAATGAACAGCTGCGTAAGATTTGTGATTAGGGCCACAAGATACTCCCATGTCTCTCACCACTACGCTGAGTTAAAGTGGATTTTCCCCTCCTTCCGAAGACAATATTTCCTAGGTACGTTCCTCTACCAAATCATCAACAACCATCGTCCTTCTTATGCCTGCAACCTTCTCCAGTTCAAATCCTCAGTCCATTCACTGTCCACAAGATCTCGACCTTCTAACCTTTACATGCCTTCTCACAGATCTGCTTCATTCCAAAACTCCTTTATTGCCCGCTCTGTCAATTTCTGGCATTCCCTCCCTATAAAAATTCGACATTCTTCATCCATATCCACATTTAAAACCCTCCTATTCCAATTCCTATCCCTAAAACTGTCAGTTATTAGCTAACCATTCCTCAACATACATTTATTTCATGACATTCATTGTCAAATATCAATGCTAAATGATAATGTATTTATATATTAATCAGGCACTTAATATTGTCAGATTCAGCTTTCTGTTTTCTCAACAGAAACACAAAGCTTATTTTAATAAAGAATTTAATATATTTTTATTTTTTAATTCCGTATGGTTTTCTTAAAAGTGTATCAGTGCAAATAGCTTTAAGTATCTTGTCATAGTGTTAATAGTTTTGTATATAGTTTCGTTTGTTTTGTATATAGAATGTTTACCTTATATTTTCTTTACATTATTTCTTTTTTTCCATTGATTTTATTTTGGCCAGATGTAAACTTTTAATTCTGTTCTATTTTGTTATTCTAGTGGTACTGTGTCCCAGAATAAAGTTATTTTCTATCTATATTTGGAAGGTGATAAAAAAAAATAAAAATAATTCAAGATTTTATTTTTAAAAAACGTAACTTAGTTGATCCGCTCAAAAGACCTTTTTAAATTGTTTTAGCAATGACAAATCCTGATTTCATTAATTATTTAAATTGAACATTTTTTTAATTGTCGTTTTCTAATCAACAAACTTAATTGAAACAAACTTGACTCAATTGAATAAACACAAATCTTAAATTTCTTACTTTTCTACGGATAATCAAACCATTGTTTATATAAACTTTTTTGTAGCCGTTGAGGCCTAATATCACCAATTTAAATATTTTTCTCTGACTAACGGGACAATCTGTATATAGTTTAAATATAGATTAAATAATTTTTTATTCGTTTTACGATCGGATCCAATATCCAGATGGACTCAATATCTTACTCAAGGAATAAATGATTCTATTGATGTCTACAATTAAAAGTGACTATTAATTTCGTGCAATTGATTACCATTAATTAAGATGAAGACGTTATAATTAATAAAATTAAAGCAATTACTTATTGTGAATTTTCCCAGATACTGTCGCTGTCTCCTCGAAGCCCTCGAGAATCTTTGCCACTTCTCTGACGACTCCGATCAGACCAGAAGTAGGCAGGGAGGTCCTGGTATAAACCAAATAAATTAAATTTGTTATTAAATTTTCTAAATTTTCAATGGCATTTATAATTAATAAAATTTAAAATTTCGAGGAAAATTGCTTTATTTCATCCTTACTCCTTCGCTCCATGCTTCAATTCATTTTAATTTTCTCGACGACGTTTCAGGCAATTTTGCCCATTTTCAAGTAGAAATATTTATATCATCTATGTAATATTACGTTTTATGTAAATATTGTAGTTATTTATGAAAAGCCAATTTATTCTATAAATGACCTATGGACTGTCAAAGAATTAGTGGACATAAGGCTGTTGTATTAAAAGGACGAAAATTATAACATTTGATGTAAATCTAAAAAAAAGTTTGACTTTTCATTAATAAGTTATGAAATTTATAATTGGAAGAATGTGAGGAGAATAAACAATTTTTACAACAATTATATAAAAAATAATATAACACAGATGATATAAATATTTCGACTTGAAAATGGGAAATATTGCCTGAAATGAAGTCGAGAAAATTAAAATGGATTGAAGCATTGAGTGGAGAAGTAAGGATGAAAAAAAGCAATTTTCTAAGAAATTATAAATTTTATCAAAAAAAAATTTATTCATGAACTTGTCAACACTAAATATAATTTATTAGACCAATTATTTTAGCTCTATACATTTTGAGGGAGCGGGGAACCTCAGTGGTAGGGCACTAAGCTTTCAATGCTCAAAGTCCCAGGTTCGAATCCCGGCTCATGGCAGAAAAATTATTTATTCTGTTTCACTGGCCATGGCGCGACCCTGGGGTAGGAAGACCCTCCTGGGGCACATACAGCCTCTATAAACTCGGTACCCGGTCAATAATTAATTAATTACTAAATAATTAAGTAATTAATTATCCGTTGTAGGAATTTTGGAGACAACCTAATTGGATATCTCGTCGGTGAAGATTACGTTATAACTATAAAAATAAAAAAATACACCAATTCTGATGAATATTTGCAAAGGTAATTATCGTTGATGAAAACTGGAGGGGACGAAATTTATAAATATGTAATAATAAAACTAATATTTTATTATAAGGTCATTATTGAAAGATTTCTTTAATTTTTGATAACTTCCTCAACAGGTGCTAGAGCAGTAATTATGAGGTGCTATTTGAGGGATTACAGACTTTCTTTGGAATCTCAACGAAAATACATATAGCGTAGTCCAATGTGTACTTCATGCCATTTCCAAGAGATAGTTTAAAACTGAACACTTCTATCAATCATTTTCCTTTTTAAAATGTCTTCACACCTCAGAAGGTGTGGAAGCAAGTGAAGAAAAAAGAGTGGAACACGTCAAATTCTGCTAGCGCTTAGTGTTTCCACCTTCAAAACACCCATTCGAGGAATATTTTTCAGTTTCTTCTTTCTCTCTGTCATCTCATGTATGTGCAGTTTATGGCAGTCATAGACATCATGCTACTGTGGACTTAGGCCACATCCCCAGTCATGGTTTAGTCTACCACGAAGCGGAGGTACTTTACACTTTAAAGGTACATTACAGCAGAGGTACATTACTTTAAAGAGGTAGTCTAAATCAATTTTTCGGAAATAATTGATTTAACATAATGAATATCAAAGGTACTGGCGGCAAGGGCAGTGGCAATAACTTACCTCCAAGTTACTTCCAAAGAATTCCAAAAGTCAAGTGCTTTTCCTCTCTCCATGTGGAATGTTTGGTGGAGTGCATGAGAACGGAGTGTGGCGAAGTAGGAAGTATACGACATCTACAATGATATGATTTTGTCAAATTTCAAAGCGGGAATAATGGTGTGGCCTTGTCAACCGAATGAATGAAGACAGACAGGTGAAGAGAGTATTCAAAGAGAAGATCTTCGCCACTAAAGCAAAGGGAGGGCCAAGAGTTCGATGGATAGAAAAGGTGGAAGAGGACATGAGACAGGCGGACATCCATATGGTGGACAGAGCCCCATGGCAGCAGATGTTGAAGCAGGCCAAGGACCACTACTGTAGTGCCAAAAATAGAAGAAGAAGAAGTGGTGGCAAGGGTAGAAGCAGGAAATTGTATTAACTTTACTTCCAAGTTACTTCCGACGAATTCCAAAAGTCAAAGGGTTGTGCAAGAAGGTAATTTGACCGACATCACGCTCAACCGTCAGGTTTTTCCTCTTAATCAATTATTTTAATTAATGATAACGAGTTTTATTGAAGGCTTAAATTAACTAAGAAACTTAATATCGAACCTGCATACTCTCTGTAATGAACGATTATTTATAATTTATATTTCATATTATTAATCGCCTCGTTGATGTTTTCACTTTTATTGTGTGGTCTAAAGCATTTACCTTAGTTTTTTTTTTCTTTATATGGGTATTCATTGATCGGACCTTTTATTCAATTTTAAACTTCAGTCAACTTAACGGTGTTGTGTTTGATCATCTATTTAGATTAGAGCGAAAATAAACGATGGTTATATAGAGTTAAAAGTTGTTTATTTTTACATTGCGAAGAGGTTATATTTTTATTGCGTAGAGAAACTTGAAATAATATAGATAGGAAGAACTCGTCCGTTATGGTATTACAATTCTGGACATGTCTTAGAAGCTAGTATTTTGATCAATTGCAACAATCAAATAAATTTTAGTCTACAATCTAGAGTTCTTAACACCATTTTTTAGGTTGGTAACGCATAGATTACTCAACAGTCCTTCCCTTGTTAGAGTGCTCACGCAGATACAGCCATCAAAATATAACACCGTTCAAATAATTATGCACTGGTTGAATCATAGAAAAGGCTTAATTAAGAGTTAGGGTTTACTTTTAATAATAAATAACAGTGAGGTAAATATGATAACGCGATCGCTATCAACTAAGTCACCTTTGGAAGAAGTAGTCGCAGGTCTTCTGGAGGTTGATGACGATGTTGGATTGGAAGAGTTCCCTTGTCGGTGGATCGAGTGCTTGGCCGAGGAGGACGCAATCTGCGTAGTGCTTGATGGCCCTTTGGTAATTGCGGTCGGTCATCCTTACCCACTTCCTGTTGCACGTGGCCAGGTCGGGCGCCATCGCTGTGACGGGGTACAGCCACAAGGTCCACCAAACAATAAGCATCACCTAACCTAATCACTAGAGATTGTTGACACCCATTTCTGAACAGCTGGCTGGTCCATTATCAATTCCGTTATCGCAGCTTCTCTCCTCGTTGATAAGTCTCATTCAATGATACCATCCAAGATTCGTCGTACCGGATCATCTTTTTTTATAAAAGCTGTATTCAAACCCCAAATGTCAACACAAAGTCATATGCTTCCTTAAAATTTTCACTATAACATTAGACAAAAATGAATCTTTCAGGTAAAAATATTTCGAGCGCCGCCGATCGTATTGTTTAATTGGCTATTTATTTCATTGTTGCCACAAAGTCCAGATTAATTCACGGAAATCTATGGTTGCATTATTTATGAACCCAGGTAAAACTAAGTGAATAAGAAATGTTTTTATAAAATATCAAAGGTGACTAATAAATACTATCTGCTGTAAAATAAAGTATTATATTGGGCTGTCCGAAAACAAATTCAGGTTTATAGTAGCTAAAAAAAAAGTATATATTAATCTATTTTTATTAATTAAACATGTGGAAAAATAGAATAAGCTGTATCATCGCTAATACGGGTTCGATTCTGGTGATATTTGTTGGTAATTTAATTACCTCACAAAAGTTTTATTATTAATTTTACCGTATAATATATACTTAGGGAGTTAGGCCCCATAACATGTTTCTTTTCTTTATAACTTTTTTTCCTGAATTTTCTTGGGAATTTAGTCCATATAAGAAAATTGAAAGGAAAATCATTAGAACATTATAGAAAAGTTTCATCTAAATAGTTAGAGCCGTTTTCGCGCTACAGACTATAGAAAAACATGTTTTTCATTTATTGCGCGCAAGATATTGAGCATGGAGCACCGTATATCTGTCATATAATACGTACAATTATTCTAGATAAACTTTTGCCAATGGGTCGGGAACTTTTCCATTCTCTCTAAATACAGCGTTGAACCGTTATTATTAACAAACTCTGAAAATGGATTTTGTAATAGAATAAATATATTTGCATACTCATATATATTTTAAATGTTTAAATATAAAGTTCATATTAAGGAGGATCAGTGACAAAAACATTTTTACCTTTTAAAAAGTTCCCTGCATATCTAAAAGAAATACTAGTCGGTAGGCGAGGAACGAGAGGTCGTAAGAGCAGAACGGAAAAGGTGTTAAGCCTCTCATTGCTGAGTTAGGCTTCCTGATGGATTGTTCCAAGAAATACGTCTCGCCTATCTTAATCTCCTTGCCTTCATATCATATTCATATTCATTAAACAGTTTCTGTATGCAGATTTTTATTATTTATTGGTTTTTCTACTCCATGCGTTAGTACTGTGATCTCCTGGAGCGGGGTGGCCGAATGGGCTAACGCGTGTGCACAGCACCACGAGTTGCCCGGCAACCAGATGACCAGTCACGAGAGATTAAAAAGGAAGATTTCGTGTCCCGGTGCCTGAAGGGATTTTAAATCCTCCGCTTTTATCCCGCAGCCCGGGAAAACCCCGTATAGCCTAAAAGGCGAGGAAAGGGAGGAAACGAAAAAAGTGTACTCTAATCTTAGATTGCTCCGGTTATCCAGCGGACGATTTTTCTCTCAAATCTTTCAATATGTTAATGTCTCGCAGCCGTATAACAGAACTAGCCGAAGCTACTACATAACATTGTACATCCTATTCGTGATTTCAATAACCTTGAAAGGGAGAAAAAAAGCTCTGCACTAGTTCGAGGCTGGTTGATGTTCGACATTTCGTCGTTAATTAAGGTCATCGTGGAGTAGAGATATTTGAATAGGTCTACTCTCGGGAACTAATTTAAATCTACATAGATCCTGTTATCAGGATAGAATTTTCGGCACATCATTATATAAGCCTTGCCTTCTAGAACCCTTCCTTACCGGTCGCTCCCAGTATTTTGTAGTCCCTAAAAATCCTCCATCAGAGTCTCTACTCTTACCCAGAGCCATTCCACAAGGTTCCTCCTTATCTCCCACCATTTTTTCCATCTGTATAAATGATACCTCGTTTTTTATCCTGCACAATCAATACCATATGTATGCCGGCAACGTCCAAATTTATCTTTCCTTCGATCCGGCTGATTCCTCTGGTGTAATCCTATTACCCCAAGAAGATATCAACAAAATATGTGCATGAGCAATCCTGAATAGGCTTACTCTAAACGCCGAAAAGACGAAAGTCATCCTGATCGGATTCCCCTCACTCTTAAAATCTATTTCTCACCTCCTAATCTTATCCTGAAAAATCCACCTATCTCATTCTCCACCTAAGTATTTTTTTATAAAATGCTCTCCTGGAAACGACACATCTCTCAAATTTATTTTACTATTTCTACCCTGAAGCAGTTGAATCGTCTATCTTCTTCCATTCAAAACCTGTCAACTCTTTGTTTCCTATCCTGTTTTCCCACACTTTGACTATGGCTGTAAGATGTAGGGTGGACTCTCGGGAGAACTCGAAGTCAAACTTCAACGCCTAATGAATTGCTGAATACGTTTTGTTTTCGGAATTTCAAGAGACACGAATATAACCCAATATTACACCGAGTTGAAGTGGCTCTATCTATCCAACCGCCTTATATACTTTCTTGCTACCTTTCTGTACCAAGTCATCAGAAATCAGCAACCCTGCTATATTTTTCAGAGCCTACAATTAAAATCTTCCATTCAATCCCGCCCCACTAGAACCCGTATATCCGACCTCTACCATCCTCACCGGACTGCTTCATTTGACAAATCCGTCATAATTCAATCCGTCTCCCTCTGGAATTCTATCCCTACAGATTTCTCTTGCACTCCTCTTTAAGCCCTATTCCTTTTCCAATCCGAGTGATCACGAAATGTAAGAAAACTCTCTAAGCAACCCAGAAACTAATTTCTTTACTTATTTTCTATTATTTTCCTATGCTAGTTTTATATATGTGCATGTATTTTTTCTCTATTTTTACTTTTAATTACCTATTATTTTGTAAATATTTCATTTAATGTATGGCCTGACTAGCATATCGTATTTACTCCATATTTATTATTGGTTCTAAAGGACAACTAGTCCAGTCAATGAATGATTGTAGAAGAAAATGGCGGGGACACAATTTTTTGACTTTGGGGCATAGTTTGAACAAGTAAGGAGGTAAACATACTAAATGCCCCCACTCCTAGGTGATGAGCCAGATATGGGGGAGTGCCTTTTAGGTCACTTTTTTCGGGTTTTCGCTTATATCAGGAATACTATCTATCGCATCGACAAAGACGTTTTATACAAAATTAAAGCTGATAAAATTTGCAATATGATTGATTATATACTTTTTTTCGCTACCTCGCTTAGTTTTCGAGATAGTTGCCTCGTTTTTATTACTGTTTTTCGAGTTTTTGCTTACACCAAGAAAACTATCTATCGCATCGGAAAACTATCCCCTTCATTTCCTTTAATACCCCCTTTTCGAACATTCATTGACTTGAGTACGGTCCCGGGATAATCAAAGTATTTGAATATCATATAAATTATTTATTAGCAGTTAACATAAATTTTATATTCAGAGTTCTAAGTTAAACTCCTAGCTAAACACACCCCCTGAAGAAGACCTGCAAAGTCGGGTCGAAACGTTGGCTTTTAATAAAATAGTTTTACCACTATTTAGCCTATTTATGACCGCTAACCCGGACCATCTCCTTCATTTATAATACAAAGGTCAACTATTAAATATTCAGTATAACATATATTTTGTTTTAAAATATGTTTCTACTAGGATTGCAATAACTTTTGTTCGATTATCTTGTCTTTCCTCAGTCCCCATAAAGGCCGAAACGTCGGTAATAAATATTTATAATAATTTTTTCTTTTTGTGAGTGACTGCAATCCTGAACTTATTTCTCAACTTTATCATCCACAGTCAACTATTTCTCCAGCATAAAAAAAAAATAATATCCCCCGAGACGTTCCCGTGTTTCTCATTACTATGCCCAGTTAGGGTGGCTATTGCCCTCCTTCAGAAGACAATACTTCCTTGGCACATTCCTTAATCAAGTAATCAACAATCATCGCCCGTCCTATGTATACGATCTCCTCCAATTTAAAACATCTGTCCACTCCCTCTCCATAAGATCTCGCCCTTCTGACCTTTACATCCCTTTCCATAGACCTTCTCCATTTCAACATTATTTTATATTCCGCTCCTCGACCTTTTGGAATTCCATCCCACTTAAAATCCGCCATGCACCATCCTTATCCACTTTCGAAACCCTCTTATTCACATTCCTCTTCACAATCCAATCAGACGCTGGTTAATTATGTATCATGTATCAAGGATAATTTTTTTTTCTTTTCATCTACCATTATTTTATTTTATTTTGTGTTTATTATTTATGAATCGGAAAGATTCAGTATCACTTTTGGCATAGCACTGTGAGGTTATGCATAAAAAATGAGAGATTGTTTGTTGTTTTTATCTATTTTTCTTTTTTTTCATCTACAAGATTGTGTATATTTTAGACGTATTTCATTTCATACATTCCTCAATTTGTATACGTACATATCTTTTCCTATCTTAATCTCCTATTTTTATAGTTTACATTACCATCGCGTTTTTTTTTTTTTTTTTTTGCCGCAATTGTTTTCTCATAAAATTTATTTAACGCTCCTTCCTAATTTTATTTATCTATTTATTCTTATTTTATATCTTTTATGGCGGGATAATGCAATATTTTGATCCCGTTGCTCATTTTCGGTCATTAATATTTCTTTAATATATGTATATATTTTGTATGCTTTAGCTGTTTGGGTTTTAACATAAGTTATTTTTTTTTATCTACGTAATTTTGATATTTTTTTCTTTTCCGGATGATTTGCTTTTTCTTTCAATACACGAAATTCTTTTTTTCATCGTCATCGTCTCGGGATAAAGTTTATTTTCTATTTCTAGTATCCGAACATGGCTCTGTCCCCAGGCTTTATATTTATATGCTAATTTATTCACTATCATAAGATCGTTTTCTTAAATACGCCGGTCATTCATAAATTATATTCTTGATTAAATTAAAAACATAAAACAGTAGTTATATCTCCTGTCCATTTACAACATGTCCACAGTATGGGTTGATGATGGTCCATTCCCAGGAGACACAACGGTTCCCACAGACCCAGCTTCGCGGTGGATCGACCTTGTGCAAGTGCAGAGTTGGTGAAAAATCCGGAAAGGGCAAGACAGATGAGACAAAGAGGGAATGAAAAAAGGCGGCCTGTGTGTTCTGAGGAGAGAGTGATTGTCAAGAACAAGGATTTAGAGACAGCCTGAACAATGTTCCATCTCTGCCTGTTTTTGCGAGCCTTGCACCGAGCTGCATCGCTCCAGACACTCATGCATTACAAATGACTCCTGAGTACGGTCGCTATTCTTTTTTGCTGCTGCTCTGCCAGCCGCCCCCCTCTTCTCCCCTCTCCTCCCCCCCCCCTCGCCCGGTGTTCAAACACAGATGGCAAATAGAATCTTTTATCCATTTCTC